CCAAACTATGAGGAACTCAATGTGAGACTGTGATAACAACTTGTTAGACTGTTCTTGAACCGCAATATTATCCAACCTGAAGACTACTTCACTATCCTCTGGGTAGACTACTGCCCTGATTGCAATAACACTTAGGTAGATATACAGCATGAATCTGGTATTCATAACTACTGCGATTTGCATTTCTTTGAGTTTTGATGTTTTATTAGGATTTCTTCTTATCCCTGGTGTAATACTTATGAGGAAGAGCTTATAGTGGAAACTGAAGCTTTTGGTTTCTCAGACTCAGCTTTTAATGATTATTAGATTTTGTTTATTTAAAATGTTGCTTTATTTTGGAGAATATAACTGGTACGGGTACTCAGTTATTAGTTTTGTTTTATGTTTTGTTTTAAGTATTCATTTGATACTTGGTTTGTTTTAAGTATCATTTGATACTCAGCTTTGTTTTATGTTTTGTTTTAAGTATTGCTTTGATACTTGCTTTGTTTTATGTATCATTTGATACTTGTTTGTTTTACCAAAGTGTCTTACTTGATATCTTTGATTAGTTTTGTTCATACTAGACATGAACAAGATTTGTTTATTTAAAAATCACTTGTTTCTACAATGGAAAAGGCAGACTTCGACAGACAGTATTTCAATAAACTTGGTTGAACGGTTGCCTCTTTGTTTCTCAGTATACCCTCGAAGTCTCCTTTAGTTCTCAGCTCTCACCGTCTCTCTGGTAGAGCAGACTACCTACCAACTATCATACCATTTACCAATAATATGATTCGCACCTTGTGAACATGTTACACTCTCATTCACGACTTACACATTTGGTATTCTCTCTTTCCCTCTTTTTCCAATATTCAATCTTTCACTAACTTCTTCCATCTCCTTGCCCTTAAGATTTTGTCTTGCTATCCAGGTTAGTTCATCCTCTTCTCCTAAACTATCTTCTTCACTTTCTTCAATCACTTCCTCTTCTCCCTTTCATTCTTCTCTTTCCTCTCTCTCTTCCTTCTCACTCTCCCATTTCTCCTCTTCCATTCTACCCTTTCTTGTAGCAAGTAGCCACTCTATAGCTAATTCAGCCTCCTTTGTGGTTAAACTGGAGTCATATTGTGCTAGAGCCCGAACGTTGAGATGGTTTTCAAATAGGGCTTCAAGGTGAAAGAAAAATGGACAGCATGACAGGAGTTTTTCTCTTAATGTTTTTTTCTCACTTATTAGCTACTTCTTATATTAAACCTTTCCTTATTTTCTCTTCTTTCTTTTTTAACGAAAAAAAAAACTCTGACTTTAAATATGAAAATAACAATAATAATAAAAGAATCAAAATCTGCTAATTACATACCTCAAAGTGCCTTTTTCCCTTCACTCAAGTCTGCCATGCTTAATCCCTAACCCGACTGACCATTAAGCTTAACTACCTCTCAGTATGATTTCAGAAGATTATTATATTTATAACTTACTTTGATCTAAGGTTTCGTAGGAATCTTCGCAGCAATCTCCTTCATAATCTGCTTTTTCATAACTCCCGACTCTTTCCTTAATCTCTTCTGGTTCTCTGACTCTTGTAACCATTGAACCAACATTTCTGTCTCTTTCTTTATCCAAATAAAATGTGTTATTATAACTTGTAACATGATGTGTCACGAATGTAGCTTGGTGAGGAAAAGGTTTTCACATGACACATGGTTATGAGTTACAGGTATGTTATTGTTTCACACATATGACTCATTCAAGTCATATGATTTGTTATGTGTGGGATTTGTAATGCTTTCCCACATGGCTCATATATGAGTCATGGGACATGCGCCTGACAAGTATGCCTTGCAAGTGCGCCTTGCGCGTATGCCTTACACATATGATTTATGTTTCACACATGACCTCATTATGAGTTCATGGGTTTTACGCATATGACTCAGTCAAGTCGTATGATTTGTTTATTGTGTTATGATTGGTTCTTCACACTTTATTCTAAGTACTTTTCCTACTTATTACTTTATCGAATATAAAAACACCTTTATGATCTTTATCTTTATTACAATGTTTTCGTTACATCGAGGAGAGCTCTTCACGAAGAAGAGTTAGAGAAAGCTTATGATAGGCGTTCCTGACAGAAGACAGAGGTCTTGTACCATCGATAACGTAGGCAGAGGCCTAGTGCTATAGTAAGACTAAGGAAAGAAACAAAAGAAGAGAAGTATCGTTTCCCGTCACTAAGAACTAACTATCCAAGGAGGGATCGTTACACATGATCACTTGTTTTTGAAGTATGTTGTTCTTAAATTTGAGATTGAAAAATTTTTCTTCTTTTATACGCTAATTCTTCAAGTTACTCTTGATTACATATACCCATACATCCCTCCCCAAGGGTCTCAAATATGTTACCCATAATCTCTCTATACTATTGGCTTATTGTACAAAGTGCACTAATGCATGCTTCCGAGCTAGTTTCCACTCGCCTACCTTTACTTCAACTTTGAATACCCCTGCTATGTGTCCCCACCTATTGTATAAGTAAATTTAGCTAACCCCAACATGCAACTATTTCTAGTTCCATTCTAAACTCAAGCCAACCCATTATTCCCACAAATGACACTGGAGTAGAGTGCAACAATCTCGAGCGATAGACTAAAGCACTTGTGTCATAATGTAAGAGCTCAAACTATTGAACTTAGGGCTAGGAAATTGGAGCTGCCTCTCCACCAGTAGTAAGGTCTGCTGTACCTTATAATATCATTGGATCCACCTTTTTGTGAGCCTGAGCTAAGGGTCGGGGGTCGGCTCTATCCATCGTGATTACCCCTCTTATCCGAAGAGGGTAATTCTAGATATCTTATGGTGAGGCTCAGTCATGCAACAGTATCATAGTTCTTCTGGTACCGGTACTGTATCTAGGAGAGTGTGAGATTCAACCCTCGGAGCTTCGGATAGCAACTGCTTCTAGCTGGGTTACTCGGTAGTAAGATCCTTCCCAGGTACCAGTATTGTAGGCCCGGAGCCCCTGCACATCCCAACGAAAATCACATGCAGGGGTAATCCCGCCCCCAACCCTCCATTGCGGAGCTGTTGAGGCGCACCGGGCTAAATTCGGTTTGCTTTGGTTCGTCAAGTCATGCATGTTCGAGTACTTGAATTTCGAGAAAAGGCGAAAGGGGAAATAAACTAATACAAGGAGTAGGGTCCAAGCGGATATAGAAGGGGATATGGTGAAGAAAAGCGAAATAGAATCATGGTGCCATTAAGAGGCTCAAGTAGATATTCCAGCCCAATGCGACCAACCCCCCAAAGAGTAGTCTTCGTTCTACCGGTACGAAGACAAAGGCGATCATTGAGACGAGGGGCCAGAGCTTGTAGGATGCTAGTGATAGAGGAATAAATTCCTGGAAACACCCGTGTTACTTATCTAGACCGTAGAGGCCTTTTTGCCTTCATTATAAAGGAGTTAGGGTGGACTTACTGCTCTCACATACTGAACCACGGTCTCCATCGACAAGCCGCGGAATCCTGCCATCGCTGCAAGAAACAGTGCATTGTTAACCGGTCCACCAAGGAACTGATCAAGAAGAAACTTCCGAAGGGTATTCGATTTAGACATCCGGGTTTGTGCAACAAGATTCCTGTTCTTCCTCTCCACTACCCCTCTGTTGGTGGAAATGGGAATGTTGGCGGGGAATGCTGCTTCCAGCCATTCTTGCCAGACAAAGTTTGGAGGAGTAGATAGGAGAGCGTATAATGCGAATTGGTATGCCGGGGCGAAGTCAAATGATAGGGGTATCTGAAGGGAGATAGGAATTTTATTCATTTGTTAGCCTTCATCCTTTCTTCCTTCCCGGTGAGGCGGGAGCTTATGTGAGCGTAGAAATGAGTAGGGTACATTTAACTTGTATGCTTGAAGGAATTGTGCGAGGAGATTTGAAAACGCGCTCATCAGAGCGGCTTGTATCGAAGCATTGATGATGGCAGACATTTTTTGAATGGTGAAGAAATGATGTTGACTTTGTGTACTTGTACTGTGCTGAACGAGAAAAGAGTCGGTTGGAGAGGAGTGGTTGCAGCTCCAAGAGAATTTCCCGGAATGTGGAACGAATTGGCGGAAGGATAAGATAAGATTCGATGCTAGAACCTGCAAACGATAACCCTTGTATCAGCAGTTCCTGCCAAACTTTGAGTTGCCCACCTAAGAAGATACTGATTTCCAATAACTTTAATTCTTGAATGATATCAAAGCGCTGAATGATATCTGAGCACGGACAATTAAATATATATCACTGATGATATTCTTGTATATCATAGCTTATAGCTTATATATTTGTTCATTTACTGCTTAAAGAGAACAATAGGTATAAGTACTGTACAGCGCAGTACTCTAACTCTCCACTTACAATATTCAATAAGGTAAATATATACTACCGTTAAGAACTTTGAAACCGATTCTCTCCTCAACAAACTAATGCTCAACTACTTCTTAAATTTTGGTATAATAAAGACAGAGTTGTCCGGTCAATGGTATACCAGGAAATTGGAGGAGGAAAGGTATTAGATAGAGTTGGAGTTAGGTGAGGTGAGATCGACCTTTAGATTAGAACGGCTCCTAGCCAGGTGCAGTCATATCATACGTGGGCAAACATGGGTTGTGTGTACAGCGAGAGGTAGGAAGTGATGAGTATTCTGCGGCGATGCGTAACGCTCTTTGTGGCTAGTTTTTTGTATGAGAGCACATAGCTACAAAATACCCATCAATTTCCGTCAACTCCTGTACTCTACTGAGACTCCTACGCGTACTGTACTTTACTCGAGCAGGGAGTAAAACATGCATTTTACCGCCTCGCATTCCTCTATCGTCCTTCCTTCCCCCACAACTCACCAATCTTACTGTTTCTGAGTCTCTGGTTGATATTTTGTGTCAGTATTCTCATCGGGCATTCGAGCAGTAGAGCTTCCTGGGGACCCCTGAGGGAACGCACGAGATTGAGTATCCCTTCTATATAGAAGCCATTGCCACGATGGCACAGGGTTCAACCTGGGAAGCTTCTGCCCTTCTCCCGCCGGCTCCCTTTCCGTGCGGCTATTTCTGGGATACCGAAGAGATCAGACATCAGGAGCATCTGCATCGGGTTTCCCATGCGCAGTTTCTGTATTCCCATCGCACAGACTCACCCGAGGCTATGAGGGTCTACAGGGATTTTATTAGCGAGCAGAATGCTTGGATGGCTGTACAGGAAGAGTTGAGAGAGCGGGAGGCCCAGATGGCTATGAAGGCCCAGGTGGACCGTGCGTCCCGATGGGCTGAGGAGTGGAGGAGGCTTGAAAGTGGCGAGGCAGTTGAGGATGTTTTGATGGTAAATTGCCCTTGTTTATTGGCGCGATGCAAACATCTAATCTTGTATAAATTAGAAGACAGGGGCAACTCTTGTCACGAAATCACCTTTTGGACCAGAACATACTGTGACCTGTGTGGATATAGGTTCGATATTGCTAGACGAAAAGTCTACTCCCAAAGGTATTCGTACCGTGAACCTCCCGGAATCTCTTATCGATCAAGAGCAAGGTCGGAATTGGTGCGATGAACTTCCGAGATTTAAGTCTAGTTGCGCCATAGGACATTTCCCTGGTTTCGATCAGGCAGACGGGACCACTGCTGCAATGATACTGGGTTCGGTTCCGGATCCTGCAGAGAGTACTCAAAAACTGAAACAAAATCTCAACCAACTGGTCCAGTCCGAACCTCAAGAGCAAGATGGCCGCAGCAGCAGCGTAGGTACTCATTCAAGGGAGAACGGATTTGTTGCCAAGCCCAATATCTCCTTCTCAGGTTTAGGACCCCCAGCCAAGAGTGAGGCTGAAAATTTTGACACTTCCAAACTCCCTTCCGCTATAACAAAGCTTACACGACAGAATACCGGTTTAGCCGGAGGCGAGGTTCTTAAGATATGCTCGCACAAACGCTGGACCTACGGTGGAGACCTCCTTTATGAAGTACTCTGGAAGCCGCATGATCTGAATACTCCGCCGTTGATGCTCTGGGTAAAATCGGGTGATTTCATGGATGCAAGCCACAGGGTCATCTTAGATGAATATCGCTTTCAAAATAAACTTGGGATCGTGCATTGGCGCAGCCAGGGGAAGAAAAGGTTACGGACTTCCGGCAGTCTTGGTGTAAAGGAGATTAAAGGGGCATTGGACGAGCGAAAGCGCTTACTGATAGCCACCGGGAGATACGATGATCGTGCAGCAGAATTACTGGGAAAGTGCAGATGGATGATGAGGGGCGAATGGCAGCAGAGAGGAAGAGGATGGGCGGCTGCGATTGAGGTTGTCGAACGCTGGAAGAAAGCTTGGCGAGTTGTGGATGAAGCAGAAAGGCAGATCTGTCACAATCTTGAGCGAGAGCCTATGCTGGGGGTTGTAGGGGATGCTTGCAAAAATGATATTCCTTGCTTGGAGGAAGTGGGATCGAAGGATGCGCCATCCCCACCAGTGGTTCACATTGACCGCTCTCCAGGCTTCAAACAACTTGATGGGGGGCATGCAATTGATCCGGAACGAGATCATGACCCCCAACGGGACAATTACGGGGTCGCGGGAAAAGATGTGGAATGGAAAAGTTTCTTTGGGGGTATAGATCGTTCGGATCCAATGATAGTCGATGATACTAATTCTTCAACAATCGGGGGAATATCAGAGCTAGGAGGAATTACCAGAACCTTCCCGAAGGCGGTCGAAACGTGGCGCATTGGCTACTCTGAAAGTTTGACCCCAGAGGTTCGGGGTATTAATAAGACAAAAGGAGGATTCATCAACCTTCTCAGACAGGATCGTTTTACAAGAAAATCTATATCCGAGGCCACCTCAACTCCAGTGTCTGTGCAATCAGTATCCGAGGCAGGGTCTTGCTTGGCGCATGAACGAGAGACATTCCTTTCACGACCGTTTATCAAAGATAGGCATCAAGATAATACAATGGATGCAGCAACTGCAGCCGCCTATAAACCGATTTTGCAGCCCTCTGAATTAATGGAGGGTCCCGCAAGCATGAGCAGGACTCCGACTACAGTTCGCACACCACTTGATGGGGAAACTGGTGAAGCATGCCTAAAATCCCGGAATGGAATGTCGCAGCTCAACTGTACGGCCATTGAAGATGGGAGAGGTGAAGTTCGTTCTCAAGGCGTTATTACTAGAGGGGCCCCCCTCAGAGATGTTGCTATTCAGGCATCCCCTTCTCTCAAGTCATTGGCAAGATTGAGAATTGAACATAGTGGAGTGTCTTCTAGCAGGACGAAGACAATTCGAGAGCAACTGGACCACTGGTGTATGCGGTTCCTTGAACTCATTTCACAATCGCCCGGTTTGAGTAGTTTACTTGCTGGGGCAAAAACCCACACAGATGGCGGCGGTTCTACGCAAGCCTTAGAATATGCTCGCCGCCCGGTTGTGTCCTTTGAAGGTGATGGTGGGCATATGCCATCGCTGTATGGGGAACGGGGCGTGGAGGGGGATCAAGGGGGCAACACTGAGCAGGGAAAAGGAAGTGGCCCAAATCGGAAGAAACACGGGGGAGAATTCGGGGCTGAGGGCGATCGGGATCGAGATCCGCTGCGAAGGGTGACATTCCCGCAAGAGCTGGCGTCGCCGCAAGACGGGGTGTCGCTATATCTGGGTGAGATTTGGGGTCAGGAAGAACCTTCGAGTCCGCAGGAATCTTTGGTGCAGGGAGCAGCTCCCATAGAAGAGGAAGCTCCAACGAAGCAAGATCTGGCTATGCAAGGTATGGGTGACGGCTACGAGAGAGCGAAGGCGAGAGGAAAAGAGCTGAGGGGCAAGAAAAGGGAGGAAGGGCTCACACGCGAGGAGCGAAAGGAGTATATGAAGTTGAAGCAGCTGTTGGTCAAATACCGAGTCACTAGATGGTTTTCAAGGCGGGTCGACATTCCCATTGAACTGCACATGCAGCGACAACAACACGTATGGGGGGCGTCGCTAGAGCTTTGCGAGACAAGTTGACGAACTGCTGGGTGTTCTGTAGATTGTTTGAGTATCGCCTGCGCTTCACTATTGCAAGGTCGTTTGCCCTTCGTGTTCTTGTTCTTGTCCGTCTTTTGACTCTTTCAATTTTCTCTGGCCGAGGGGGTAGAGTTCGTGGCGAAAACAAGGAAAGTGAGATAGGGGAAATTATGTTGGGGGGGTTCTTTTTTTCTGGGGGGTTCAAGTTTGCTGTTATGATATAGTACAGTGCATTAGAGTAGTTTTCCAGTGTGGCAGTTAGAGACAGCCACTCAGATTGATAGACGTATCCTATCACTCGTCTACCGTTATCCCTTGACCATTTTCGTTACCTGGACTGTAAGTACGATGCTATTTGTGAAACCGGCAAGAAGTACTGTGCCCGAAAACATGGGCGGGGTATGGTGGGAGATACCAGCAGGGGCGACGATATATATCAACCTCGGTAAGAATTGCATTGACTCCCAGCCATAGCCGAGAATATAACTCCCAAAATTGACGATACCGGTACTCCTGGAGTACTATCGGCGAGTGGTCTTGGGTCCTCACCTCACGAAGGGTATCCTTTACAGCAAGATTCGGCTCCGCCGTGCATACCATATAGAGGAAAGTAATGTATGCTAGGACTGATATCAGTGTGTATAGAGCTCTGGTGCCGTGGACTACCGTGCTCCTTTTTTCAGGTCCTGTGGAAAGAATTTGTACGGGTAGTTGGAAAACTACTCGGGCATAGGAAGGTAGGCTAAGGGTAGGGACGGGTAATTATGACGACAAATATCGAACTATTGATCTAAAATATTCAGAGGAAGGTTTGGGTTGTACTTTGGTAGAGCGAGCAGCTCTCAGCTTGCCTTTCTGGTTCGGATTCTAAATTATATCTGTACCAAGCTAACTGTGCTTTCTCCAACCGTACGATACAAGTGAAAGTAGTTCGGACTAGACTATATAAAGATTTCTACTATACTTGTACTCTACTGTACGGTGCTCGTACTCTTACTTGTACGATACGAGTACTGTACAACGCAACTAATTTATGATAATAATAATATTATTACCATTCATCCTACTCGAGTAAGTGGCTTCGGGTATTTACGCGAAGAGACCTATGATACCGGTATCATAGGTGATAATATTATGATAGAATAAGTGGATGACAGGGCTTGGCCAACCTGGTTTTTTGATCCCAACCTGCCGGAATGAAAAAACGATGAAGTCTGACATGAAGTTGAGGACCCCAAATGCCCACTTCCACTATACTCTTATGCCTCCAATAGGCTACAATTTTGTACCGTTGTCCTTGACCATAATCCTACAACAGCAGCTTCAATATTCTTAAGAATTGGCCGCTGTGGGGAGCTCTTGGACCGAGTTTAAAAGCTCGACATTTGTCGGGGGTTTGATGGGCTCTTGATGAGAGGGTGAGCCTTATGTATGACTGGAAAACCCTGAGCCCTAAGCACCATTGGCTCCTGAGGGCTTGGTTATCAGGGTTCACCCCCGTCTCGTTGTCCTCATTTCGACAGGGAGAGGGCTGATCCGGGACGCTAGCCCCAGAGGATACCACAGGAGAAGAACACAAAAAAAAAAGGAAAAGATAAGATTCGCTCCTCTTCAGCTCTTGCTTAGATGTCAGAATCTCACCACCTTCTCCTTTCTCCCTTCAACCTCTGAGCCCTTACCGGTTGTTCGACGGCCTCTCCCATCCCCCTCCTTCGTGGAGTTAGTTTTTCCTTCTTTCCACATCTCCACTCAATTCTTTGTTTCAAAAAGTTCTCTCTCCTTTCCTTCTCGGTTCATAGACTTTTTACGCCGGTTTAGACTAGATTTTCGTTCTCCACCTATTCTCTTTCCTTCCTTCTGACACCCTTCGACTCGCATCTCATATTTGCGTCGCGCTTCTGCTTCACCGATAACCTGAGGGCCCTTGTTCTTGATACCACCATCACACGGATTGCTTCCCATGCCGGGAGTTTTGGACGCCACGAGTCCCACATCCTCTCCTCGATCTTCGACCAATCAACCTTTAGAAATGTTGCTCACGGATGCTGCTATTTCCGATTACCTCTCGGCTGTCTTTTCTGCTGATTCATCTCAAGGCTCCCTTGATGCCGCTCTGGCCTTATGTAGCGCCATCCTGTCGGACCCCGCCACAGCACACCATTCGTTCCCCACTCTGTTTCCACCGTTGGCTAAGGCTGCCTCGGATAAGAAGTCGGGCACACGACGTGAGTCGGCTATGATCGTCTACGGAGCGTTATACGAAAGCTTTATCCCCAAATCCCCGATAACGGAGGTCTTGTTATTGAAGGAGACACTACCCATTGTTTTGGACGGGTTAGCCGATAAAGGTGCTGTTGTCCGCGAGGCCTCACAGTATGCTATCGACGCCATGTTGGCGCTTTTGAAGGAGGAGGCGTTAGTTGTTGGTCTTGTTCGGGTGCTCATGACATATGTCAAGGGTTCTGGCTCCAAGTGGCAGGGCAGAGTGGCAGCGCTACAGTTGATTGGAAGAGTTGCGGAAAAGGCTGTTACAAGAGACGGCTTTCTTAAAGAAGTCATGGGCCGGGAATTGGAGACTTTGATTCCTGTTGTGGAAGGCGGCATGCATGATCTTAAGAACGAGGTTTCGAGAGCCGCTGCAAAGGCTATGACCAGCTTGGCCAAATTACTAAGCAACGATGATGTCGCGAGACACATCCCGACTTTGATCAAAACTATGAGTGACCCATCAAAGGAGACTTTGCAGAAGGCTATACATGATCTCAGGTACGCGATCCGTTTGTCAACATCTGACCATAACTAACTCGTCATATAGTCAAACTACTTTCATCGCTGTAGTCACCTCACCAGTCCTGTCTCTTCTGACTCCTCTTCTCGAGCGATCACTCTCATCGCCACAGACCTCCCAGGATGTCCTTCGTCAAACAGTTGTCGTCGTTGAAAATCTGACAAAGTTAGTTCACGATCCTGTAGAAGCAAGGGAGTTCCTTCCCCGCCTTCAGCCGGGTGTGAAGAAAATCGAGGATACTGCTGCACTTCCGGTCGTTCGCTCGTTGGCCAAAGATGCGAACGCTACGATGGTCAAGGCTATGAAAGTCGGCACTGGGACTGACGTTCCCGAGCGGATATCTGTCGACGAAGTTGAAAAAAAATTGATTGCGGGGACCATCATCGGGGCTGGCGAGAAGAAGCTTTGGGAACAGGATGGAGTAAGGCGATATATCGTGGAGATGGTTCGTGAGTGTATTGTGGCTCGCGAGTTCAAACGGATTTCTGGGTGCATCACAGTTTATCTGGAGCATTTCATGGCGCAAGACGATGCCAAGAGGGTTGCGGCTGAGATTGAACAATGGGCGAGAGACGAGACACTCAACCGATTCGGCAATGGGATCGGAGAAGTCGATGATGAGCACAAACATGAGGTTGAAATCGTCAACGCGGAATTCTCACTCGCCTATGGTGGGATGATGCTTCTAACTCATACGAATTTGAGGCTTTTCCAAGGCCACCGATACGGGCTTTGTGGGAGGAATGGTGCGGGGAAATCTACACTCATGCGTTCTATTTCTCAGGGAAAGCTTGAAGGATTCCCTAGCAAAGACGAGCTGAGGACTTGTTTCGTCGAGCACAAAGAACGCGATGAGCGTGACATGAGCATCGTGGGATACATCCGCCTTGCGCTCGAGGAAAACGGCGACGGGAATATTAGCGACGAGGAGATTGTTGAGACTTTGAAGAGCGTCGGTTTCGAGGGCGAGCGAGCAGAAATGAACATAGGTCAGCTCTCGGGAGGCTGGAAGATGAAATTGGGTCTCGCAGAAGCTATGCTGAAGCGGGCTCAGGTCTTGTTGTTGGACGAGCCGACCAATCATTTGGATGTGAGCAATGTCCAGTGGTTGCAGGATTATCTCAAGTTGCACACGGAAATAACTAGTTTGATCGTCTCTCACGATTCAAAGTTTTTGGACGAGGTTTGCACTGATATTATTCATTATGAGAACAAGAAGCTTGTCTACTATAAGGGCAATCTTTCTGAGTATGTCTCTCTAAACTTTGGCCTAAACGGAAGCTAATGTGCATTAGATTTGTCCGGAAGCGGCCGGAGGGTAAGGCGTATTACTCTCTTGATGCTTCCAACGTGTCGTTCAAATTTCCGTCTCCTGGTCTCCTCACTGGCGTTAAGTCGGCCACTCGCAGCATCATCAAAATGACGAATGTTACTTATACATACCCCACCGCTACCAGACCATCCCTCTACAATGTCACTACTTCATTATCTCTTTCGTCTCGTGTTGCTATTATTGGCGGTAACGGTGCTGGGAAATCGACGCTAGTCAAGCTACTTACGGGTGAAATGGTTCCGCAGGAGGGAAGGGTTGAGAAACACCCCAATCTCCGAGTTGGCTACATGGCACAGCAATCTCTCCATCACGTGCAAATGAATCTAGAAAAGACCCCATCGCAGTACCTCCAATGGCGTTATTCTTCAGGAACTGACAAAGAAGTTGCCATGAAAGACACCCGTTTACTCTCGGAAGCCGACAGGAGACAGCTGGAGACACCAATCGACCTTGGCGATGGTCGCGGGCCACGACGTATCGAGGCTCTCGTCGGTCGCCAAAAGTGGAAGAAGAGTTTCCAATACGAGACTAAATGGGCCAACCTCATGCCAAAGTTCAACGCCATGATTAGCCGCGAAACGCTAGTGGAACATGGATTCTCGAAGCTGGTCCAGGATTTCGACGATGCCGAAAGCGCGCGAGAGGGTCTTGGGTATCGTGATTTGGATGTGGCATCTATTGAGAAGCACTTTGAGGACATCGGATTGGACAAGGAGATCGCAATGAACAACGAGATCGGCGGCCTTTCTGGCGGTCAGAAAGTCAAAGTTGTTATCGCGGCAGCCATGTGGCCTAAGCCGCATCTTCTAATCCTGGATGAACCGACGAATTATCTTGATCGGGAGTCCCTAGGCGCGTTGGCTACGGCAATTAAGGAGTTCCGTGGAGGTGTCTGCTTGATCTCCCACGACGCGCAATTCGTGTCTCAACTCTCAAACGAGGAATGGCATATTGAAGCTGGGCGGATGGTTAGGAAGACTAGTAATGGCAGCAATATGAACCTATCACTTCCTTTGGATCTTAACTCTCGCCCTGGAAGCTCCGCGGTCAGTCTTTCGAGTTCTACCGTTAGCTCAGCTGCTAATACCGACGCTGAGGATAACAATGGTGAGGGTATGGAATTCAAAAGCATCAAGAGGGGGAAGAAAAAGAAGTATACCCGTGCTCAGTTGAAGGAGCGAGAGGTCAGGCGAAGGTTAAGGTACTTGGAGTGGTTGAATAGTCCGAAGGGGTGAGTGCACGCATTCATTCATCTATCTAGCGGTTCTGTGGACTAATACCCCCTGTTTTACACAGAACACCAAAGCCGGCCGACACAGATGACGAGTCTTAATGAATGATGAAGCCTGTTTTTATGTTTCTACTCCTTTTTGCAACAGGTGGACTAGAAAGGGTTATAGATGGTGAATCATGTGATTTGTGTTTTGGTATCTGCTTTTTGAATTGTATTTCCTTTTCGTACGTGGTAATCAAAAGGCTAGAGTGGGTAGGTATTCGGTAGTAGATGTGATTGCAAGGGAGGGTATATTAGGATTAGGGGGAGAGGAGAATACATTTACATATAATTTGCTTCGGGATCGGCAATGGCGGGTGAGGGTGGTAGCGAACATGGTCGATGAGAGGTGAATTGACAGCCATGTACTAGGGCTCAAGGGTAATTCGGGCGCGGTGCCATACGCCCCCACACAGGTAATTTGGCTCGGTAGCAACGACTCCAGGGGGGCCTCCGGGCACCGTGTTACTAACAAACACGGTTCTATGCAAACATGAAACAGAAAGGCACGCGTGAAGCATCGAACGGAGTAAGGCATCGTGAAACCACTCGGGATGAACGAATGAAGGTGATAATCTTAAGAGACGATGCTGGATGGAGTTGGACCCGGATAGGAAGCCACCTGAATATTGATAGGCGAATGTGTCAGAAAATACTAGGAGAATTAAACTACCTTTTAAGATTTATCAACAAACAAAGGAAACCGGAACACCATCCAACAGTCACTGGACTGGTCTTCTCCTAATATTCGATGATGCCAAGAAAGCGCAGCTGGAAACTTTTATTAACCAGGATTCAAGAACATGACAACTAAATTTAGACACAGTCTGCATTAAAATGAATTATGCCTGCAGCTTAATAACCATTAAGAGAGTATTGGAATCTAGAGGATATGATTAGTGTATTCCTCAGTGCAAATTTACAATTCGACCTGCCAATAGGACAATCTGGGTAGCTTGGTATCAGAACGATTAGACTGGACCTATGAGGATTGGATTAGAGTTCTGTGGACTGACAAGTCAACTTTTTCCACCATTGGCTTCACAAATTAGCTACGGGTAACATGAAAAGCATCTGAAGAATATTATCCTGACTGTATTAACAGCACATACGAGTCCAGCTATCAATAAAAAATGGTATGGGGTACATTCTGTGGAACACTCAAGTCCAACCTAGTCAATATTTCTGAAAAAGCTACCTTGGATGTTATACTCTAAGTCCAAAATGTGAGGGAATACAGCTTATTCCATTTTGGTATCTGTGTTGTAAGGATGATGGGTAGGTAGCTGTAATAGAGGATGGTGTACCAGGCCATAAAGAATTTGCTAAACAATAACAGCAGTTGGATAAGATGGAGAGTCTCTCATAGCCAGTCCAGTTTCCAGATCTAAACCTTGGAGAGATACTCTGTTGGGATATAGAGGCAGAATTAGGGGAAGGGTTGAGCCGGATCAGGGATATTCCAGCTATAGAGGTTGCTTGATAAACAGTCTAGTAGGTGATTCCTAGGGACCGGCTAGAGAGGGTAATTCACAGTATACCTGTACTGCTTCAGGCTATAATAGATACTGTTAGGAATACCGAGATTCGATACCTAGGAACCATCCTAGGTAGGGTAACCTCTCCCGAAATCGAAATCTCAGGTCTCCAACACCCCCCTCCGGCCCCCTTACGGGGCCCGCGCGTCGTCATACATATCGATCTAAGTTGCGTCCTGTGAGTATTATACCACAGAATCAAAGGTGTTAAAATAATACCGTATACGTCGCCGCCGTCCGTCCGACCGGATCCTGTTCGCAGGATATATAAGAGGGGACCTTCGGCTAGGTCTGGGAAGTATAACGGAGTGAATCCGTCAACTACCCAGAAGGTTACTAGGCTTCAAGAACGAGATATCTTCGGCAGGGCCGTAAGTAACGGGACGTTTTCGCGCAAAAAGATGATGATGAATAGTAAAGGATCTTAATGAAAGACCAATACATTCACATCTACCCTACGATAACCAGAAGAGTCTGGAACTCCTGAGAATACTACCATCGAACCCAATGAAGTTCGAGGAGTGTTACAACTAGGTTCCGGTACATACTGCAACCGAGGGGGTGACTCCCAAACTGGTAACAGTAACCAGAATCCTATTACCCACTGCAACCAAGGGTTACCGACCGAGGGATTATCTACCAATCCTATGGAAAGGCTTCCTGCAGGCAAGTAGGAAGTCCTCCGGAAAAGACCTATCGGTTGGGTATGGAGTTATGAAGAGTTGAAGTTAGATGACCTAGAAAGTCGGTAAATACAACTATCTTCGCAGATGCAACCCGCAGACGAAACTGATCATTTCGTCGACAAGGGAGACGATTGGAGCCAACACAGTTCGACTTGAGAATTGGGCCATTTGTCTGAAAAGACTCTCACTATCGGATAATTACTATTGGAAACAGCATGACTTCCAAATAGTCATATTATAATTATCAAAGAGGGTGTGATGATTTTCAGGGTCTCCAGGTGTTCGCACCTTGGAAGAAAACCCGACGTTGCAAGTTATATTGGAAAAAGGTACATGGTTGTATGTTAGTTAGATGTAGTCCGCGAACATTCATATGCGGAATATAAATATCGAAGTGCCTCCGAAGCTTTAGACATCATCAAGCAACGGAGAAGAGACCTTAACAATATAATATTGTTCTTACAATTTTACTTTACTTTATCCTACCTTACTTCGCTCTTAGTAGTCATAAACGAAACGAGTGAAGTCCGAGCCTTCCTAGACAATCTCTGTCTACAAAAACGAATCTCGATCGGCCTAGACAACTCTGAAGTCTATCGGGTTGTCTCCGCCTAACAGTACCTGTAGTAGCAAGAGGGCTTGGCTCTAGCATAAGCAGAGCTTGCAATAGATCTGGTGGCGGTTGAAGGTTCTCAAGATCCTGAGGTCTAGGATTCTTTTCTGGATGTATAATAGGAATCATCAACTCAGGTTGAAGAATACTACCTTGAGCCTGAATAGTTTGAACCAGTTTCTTCCTTTCCCTTTCTGCCTTGCGAGCATCAACATCTCGACGGTGCAAGGCTGTCTTAGCCTTATTGACTGCAACTTGGATCTCCTTTTGAGCCTTCTTGATAGCATTAGCTTTTTCTTTCTAATCTCTTTCTGCCTTCTTTTATCTTGCTTCTTCAACAGTAATGATGCCGCCTTTTTGAATACTTCATCTAGAGTTGGTTTTACGCTTTTGCTACTTACAGATTTATGATTGAACAGCATGATAGAATTCCTCTTGCAACTGTCCCTCAGCAAGACAGATCTGCGTTCCTCTAGCCCATTGTTGAAAGTGGGCCTTGGATGAGGGACTGAAGGTTTCTGCTTTATCAATCCATTCCCTGATGCCCTTTTGGCACTCAAAATGGGTGGTGGGAAGAACTGGAAGCTCGAGCTCACCTCCTTCTTCCATTGGGACTTCAGGTTTGCTGGAACTTGCAGATGTACCGGGGCCACCCTCGGAGTGGGATGATGCAGTGGAGTTAGATATGGCTTTAGGGTTTCCCCTGTTATTGTAATGCTGTATTTTCTTCAACACTCTCTTGAATGAGACAGGAAATATACCAGAGTCTGTGAAAGCATTTTTAATCGTATGCATTTAAAATGTTTGTTCACGAATAGAACTAAGGTCTCTGAAGAAGGAGGAAATTGTATACTCCATATCAAGCGAGTGTAGGGCATTGTGAATGGCTTTGTTATGGTAATATTTCCATAGGCGAAAGACACCAAGATCAAGAGGCTGAAGGACATGGGTGAGATGGGAGGGAAAGCTAAAGGGAAAAATATGGTTCTCATAGCATTTCAGAATAAAGTCATCCTTATGGTGGGTACTATGTCCAGCGAGTAGAAGCATACGCCAATGCTTATCAGGACCTTCATCCACATGCTTGATAAAGTGATCAAGCCATGCAAGAGCAATCGTCTCATTGGTATAACCTGTCTGCAAAACTGCTATAACTTCAGGTGAGCCGAGCGAGCGAAGCGAGGGAGGCGATTCTCTAGCTGGGCGGACAGCTGTGCTGATGGGAAGGGGACGTGAGAGTTGTGGTATCGTGAGAAACAAAGTGTCGACAATAATCAAAAGAGATTGATCGTTGGTTTCGTTGACCTATGATCAACTCGTCAGGACGGGGGGAGAAGGGCGATACTTATACCTTTCCCCGTAGATGATGGCGGGTGAAAGTCCATCGGGTGTGGAAGACGGGGGCGTGGGTTTGACCCTGAGCGCCCGTCGCGAGTAACGCAGTAAAGTCGTTAAATCGCTAGTGGTGTGATGCGAAAATTTGCGCTCGCCGCTCATGGGAGGGTGTGAGGCAAATAGTTGTGCATCGGCGACCTCGTATTTCCAAGCGAGGTGTGGCACACCGATTTTATCAGTGTGCATGCCGTCATGCATGCATCCTGCAAGTAAGCCGGAACCGGAAGGCTTGCCAGAATAGGTAATCATCGTTCCGCATATGCGCGTGAGCCGAGCGATTCTCTAGCCGGGCGGACAGCTGTGCTGATGGGAAGAGGACGTGAGAGTTGTGGTGTCGTGAGAAACAAAGTGTCGACAATAATCAAAGTAGATTGATCGTTTGTTTCGTTGACCTATGATCAACTCGTCAGGACGGGGGGAGAAGGGTGATACTTATACCTTTCCCCGTATGTGATGGTGGATGAAAGTCCATCGGGTGTGGAAGGCGAGGGCGTGGGTTTGACCCTGAGCGCTCGTCGCGAGATACGCAATAAAGTCGTAAAATCGCTGGTGGTGTGATGCGAAAAATTACCTCGCCGCTCGTAAGAGGGTGTGAGGTAATTAGTTGTGCGTCGGTGACCTCGTATTCCAAGCGAGGTGTGGCACACCGATTTATCGGTATGCGTGCCGTCATGCATGCATCCTGCAAGTAAGCCGGAACCGGAAGGCTTGCCAAAATAGGTAGTCATCGTTCCGCATATGCGCGTACTAGGATTATCCCTACTAGGGCAACGCGCGTGCATGCCTGCATGCGCATATGCACGAGCTCAACCGTGCATAGCCGAGGTGTGTACCGGATTAGTCTAGACAACTTCCAAATCGGGACACTTACCTAAAACAGAAATATTTTCTATTACGGAAAACTTCCTATTTCGGAAAGTGGGTACGACCTTCCTATTATGGAAGTGGCGCGCCAAGAGATTTCAGCCCCATGTACCAGCCACCACGTGACGCCATCACGTGCCCATTAGCCACCGCCACACGCCACCGCCACGCCGCCACAGTGCCACAGCTCAGCCACTCACGTGACTGC